AAGGGTTGGACAGCGACAGCTAGAGGATGGGCTGGCAGGAGAGGGAGAGGAGGGACCAGGAGAGGGAGAGGAGGGACGAGGAGAGGGAGAAGGACAGGGATAGAGAGGAAGAGGAGGGGGAGGACAGGGATTAGGAAAGGCCAAGGGAGGAAGGGAACAAGATCTGCAGGAGCAGAACTGCCCCACAGCAGAACACAACGGAGCAGCCACAACTCCCACCCTGTCCCATGTTCCCCCAGCTGTGCCCAGTGCTCGGACAGTGACAGCACCAGCTACACTCAAGGACAGGGAGTGGCCTGTGCTTCCCTCAGGGATCACCACGGCTCCAACTGGGAACTGCTCGGCTCAGTGCTGAGGGACACGGGAGCAGCTCAGGGCTCGTGGAGACACAACCTGAGCAGGTGGGACATGGTGAGCTTACACAGGGGAGATGGTGACATCACTGCAGGGATGGTGTCATCATCATGGTGTCATCCTGCCTGTTCTCCCTTTCCATGAGGAACAACCTGGAGCAGCTCCATCAATACTGGCCACCCGGAGGTCTGGCAGGGTCACAGCTGAATATGCCCTCACTAAGCATCTCTTAAGTCCTCCTCTCATCTCTCATCTCCTGGAAAAGGCAACTTAGGGCTGGAATCCATAGGAGAATTCCCACCTCCTCATGTGCTGCCCTTGGGATTCCTCAAGATCTCCCGCTGGGAGATCCCTGCTGAGGCACCACATGGTGCTCCCTCCTTCCTCACTGCCTCCTGCTTCAGCCCAAGTTCGAATGATCCCTGTGGATTACTTGAGACAAAGGAAAATCCCTTTTCCTGAGACTTCCACTCTGCTCCAGCCCTGAAGGAACAGGTGACATCCCTTTGTGATGGCACCATCCCAAGCCAGCCTTGGCCACCAGCAAAGCCTCTTTGGTGCCCCTTTGGCACTGGTGGGACCCAGAGCTCATCCAGCTGAGGTCCACACCCCCTTCCCTGCTCTTCCCAGATCTCCCATGCCCTGGCCAAGCATGAGACAGAGTCCCACTTGCTCTTCCACCCCTGGGTGGGACGAGGGTGAGAGGTTAGTGATGTTAGTGACCGGATGGGTGAAGCCAGTGGTGTTGTGACATGGACACATGCTGAGTGCCAGAGCCCCTGTCTCCTTGTAGGCCACACGCAGCAACACCAAAACCTCTTCCCAGCTCCAGCGGCACTGGAGGCACTGGGCTGGTGGTAGCTTGGGCTCATCTGGGATATGGAGGGCTGGAGGTGCTCCTCAACCACAGCCACCAAAATTCCAGCTTGCCCAACCTCCAGGAGCTCATCCCTGTGCTCTCCCACAGCATGGAAAAGCCTCAGTGGTGGTTCTGGAGCACCTCATCCTCAGCCTGATCTCCTTGGAGAACACTACGAAAATGCCATGGCAACCTGGAGGGAAGAGCATCCTAAAGCATGGAGGAGCTCCTGCCACCCTGAGCCCCTTCTGGGGGACAGTGGTGCCACCACCACCACACCTGCCTCTCCTGCAGGCGACTCTACGCCCTGTGGCCCTCCTCCGCCTCCTCCCATGGGAAGAGGACTCAGTGGATGTGTTTAGGCACCTGTGGAGATGCATAGAGCATCTCCAGGCCTGGCTGAGGCACAGAGGAGAATGGAGCTGTGCCAAGGCTCTGACAGGGGCTGCCTTGGGGGGAGCTCAGGGTTTGTGGCTAGCGGTGGTGTGGCCACCGTGTCCTCAAACCTGTTCACCTCCTTCCCAAAGCAGGCCATGTCCTCTCCAAATCTGGCCACCTGTCCCCACAAATGGGGCCAGTCCCCCTGTCCATCCTCTCTCCACATCCAACTCCCTCAACTTGAGGACCAAAGCTCTACAACCCTCAGGACTTTGCCCCGCCAGAGATCCCCCAAAGCCTACAAGGAAACAGGGGTTGTATCTGCAGCAGCTCCAAGCTTGGCCCAGGGATGTTACACCAGCTGAGACAGAACTGACTGAGGAGTGGATGGAAAAAAGCAGCTTTACCCTAGGAGCTACAAATGCCCAAAGGGCTTATTGTTCTTCTCTCTGTCTCTCTCTCTCAGATCTGTAGAGATACAAAGCAGTTGTGGGTTTGCAGCAGCATCACCTGCAGCTCCTCCTGTGGCAGCTCAAACTCTGCTCCAGGTGACACATTGGGCTGTGGCTTAAAGATAAACAAACAAGCAAACAAGACACACAAACCCTCGGGCTAAACCCCCTCTGATGTGGCTCCTGGAGGCCCAAACTGAGCTGTGGGGACACTCTGGGTGCTCCTGGGGAGTCACCAGCTGTGTGTGGGGATCTGAGGGATGAGAGGAGCCTGGATGGGCACAGGACAGGGGGCCACGGGCCAGCGATGCCACCTGAGAAGGGAGAGCTGCACAGTGAGGACTCCCCACGGCACTAATCACACACACAAACCTCTCAGTGTCAGCATCAGCTTTATTAGGGACAAGGATGTCACACAGAGAGGCCTCGCGCGGCTCTGAAGCTGCTCCCCCTGGGATGCTCCTGCATGTGTGTCCATCTCACAGCTCAGCAGAGGCTGCCAGGAGCCTCCTACAACCACCTGCCAGGAGGTGCAGCCAGGTGGGGTCAGGATCTGCTCCCAGGGACAATGGGAACACCTCAGGCTGAGCCAGGCGAAGCTCAGGTTGGACACTGGGAAAATCCCTCCTGGAAAGGCTGTCCAGCCCTGGCACAGCTGCCCAGGGCAGGGCTGGAGGCACCATCCCCGGAGGGATTTAACAGCCATGTGCCTGTGGCACCTGGGGACATTAGTGGTGGCCTTGGCAGTGCTGGACTTGATCTCAGAGGGCTTTTCCAACCTCAATGGCTCTGTGATTCCATGTTAGACATGAAGAAGCTGCTGCTGGCCTCATTCTACATCCAAGCAGAGCTGATCCATGTGTCCCCAAGGCAAGGTCCACCACATTCCCACGGCCAGGAGGAGTGGCAGTTGTCCCTCTGTGTCACTGTTACCACCACAGGCATCTTGTGGGGCCTGTGCAGAAGCTGTGCCAGGTGAGGCCTCCTCAGCCTGGGCACCACAGAGGTGCCCCGTGAAGGGATGATGGAATCAATATTGTCTCCATCCACTGCCTCAACTCTGACCTTATGTTCCCATTCTCAGGATTTCTTGGGCTCTTTGTCAGTCTCTCCGGTCAAAGGTCCTTCAGTGGAAGGTCTTGGGAGGAGACAGAGCCATAGTTAGAGCGAGGGAGAAAGGGATGGGTTGGGTCTTCTATTCTTGGGGTCACCAGGCAGGAACACCACAGAGCTCAGTGAGGGACACACACACCAGGACCTGCTCTGGACCCACCACAGGCAGGGAAGTGACTGTCCTTAGATGGAACTGCTGTAAAGTCAGGAGTCATGTGGGGAGTCCGTGCAGGACTCCAGGACACCTCAGTGTCCTCACCCCTGAGGGACTCCAGGACACCTCACTGTCCTCATCCCTGCAGGATTCCAGGAAACCTCTGTCTCCAGGTGTCTCTTGAGGGATATTTAGTTCCCACTGTCCTTCTCCGGGGCCTGGAAAACATGTCCTGAACCAGGTCATCTCTTACCTAACCTCTCCTTCCATGATTCCCTGAATTTACAGCAATTCCACCAAAGAGAAGACCTCGGACAATAAGGACAGGGACTGACATCATTAGATGGTCTATTTACAGCCCATTTCCTGGGAAATGGTTCAAGTCTTGGACACCAACTGGGAGCATCAAAATTCTCGAGCTGAAAGGCTCTGACTTTCAGAAGAGGAATGGGAACATGGACCTCTGGGGGACGGTGGGAAGGGCTGGACACTGGGCAGAGGGTGCTGCTGCTCCTGGGGGTCACAGGGAAACAGTGGTGGAAGGCAGGAGGGGCTGGAGAGAGGTGGAAGATGGAAAAGAAGAGCTCCTAGGAATGAGGGACATGGATGGGGAAGTCAGAGAAGGTATGGGGACAGGGAGATGGCTGCACTTCAACCCCACATGGAGTCACCACGAGGCTGAGGATTTACAGCCCCTCCAGTGAGGAGGTCAGGAGGCCACAAACAGACTCCCAAGGGGGTGGACACCTGGAAGAAGCTGAGAACCCCAAACTCCCAGTGCCACAGGAGATGGGCACAGCAGCCTGATTCCAGAGGGTCCCCAGGGAGTGGCTGTCACCTGGCAGCAGGGTGAGACACTCAGAACCAGTTCCACACTGCTGGAACCCCCAGTTTGGTCCCACCAAGAGGTGGTTGGCCACGATGGCACCGCTGAGGGCACTGCAGGGAGACGTGAAGCTCCCCTGAGGTAGATCAGGACATGTTGTCCTCCACTCTATACCCTGAAATGTCTACATGTGGAAGGATAACCCATGGCCTTGGTTTGGTTGGAAGAGCCTTTCCAAGGGAAGGGTTGTCCTTCACCCCAGGCTCCCTGACCCCCAGCACCCACTGGTGACACCAGCAGGACCTGCTCATGGTGAGTTTGTGCCACGGCAGGTGTTTTGGGGCTGTACCCTGCAAGGGCAGAGTGAGACCAGGAATTTTGGGTCATTTCCTGCTGTAACTGTGTGTTTTGAAGCCTTGTGAGCTCTGTTTAGAGCTTTTTGGGTTTAGGGTTGTGTGGGTGAGGCAGGACTGGTGGGCACGGGTCAGGGAGGTGACTCTGTGTCCTGCCTAGGGCCGTCACGGACCACCCTCATGCCCTCCCTCAACGGGACCTGTCCATGGCTCTGCTACACAACATCTGGAGATCCTTTGCAATGAGAAGCTCTAGAGAGACACGTTGTTGGCTGTTCAGGAGCAAACACAGAGGGTGAAACCCAGGACTCCATAGAGCAGCATCACGACAGGAGAGACATGGAGCGACAGGGAGAAGCAACAGTGACTCGCGGCGCGTGAGGAGCTGATCCACAGCTGCACCAAACCGTGGCGCAGTTCAGCCAGTGACACCTCAAAGCACACCCCGACTGCTCCGCACAGCTGCGCCCTGCACCCGCCCAGCGCCGCCTGCTCGTCACCCGCGTCTTACCGTGCCGCCACCACCGGCGACTTCTTCCCAGGATCCAGGGTGGCCCCGGCCGGTTCCTCGCCCAGCGATCGCGTGTCCTTGTTGAGCTGCTGGAGTCGGGAGCTTAGCTCACTGATCACAGTTGGCTTGTCATCTTCAGCCCCATGGATGGGCCTGCTCTCCATGGGGTCTCCCCATAGCTTGGACCTTCTCTGGAAGAGGT